CAATCCCCTAGAGAAAGACAAAATCAACAAATGTTTTTAAAAAAACAAAACCGGCACAAAAGGTAAACTGAGTAAACAAACTGTCGGAAATAAGTAGCACGTCGCTGTGCATACAAGCACTTGCAACAACTAAGGGAAATCAATATGGACTAACAGTGTAGCTTCTTCCTAAAACGGACACATCTACGACAAGCCTGCCGAATGCTCGAGGCACTCAGAAGAAAATATTGGTCCTGTCCGAAGCAGAGAGACTCAAAACACTACGGGAGTCTGGAGGACCTGGGGAGAACAGAAGCCTTCGCACAAGAGACTGGGGGTGTCCATTTAGAGAAAAACGAGAAGAAAAAACAAGACAACCGACGCACTTAACTGTCTACTTCCTTTTTCCAAGATGGGCACGTTACTATGAGCTTGGGCCAAAATCTACTTGAGCCCGCACTAGAGACCGGGGTGTCCATTTAGAGAAAAACGAGAAGAAAAAAACAAAACAACCGACGCACTTAGCAGTCTACATGAAGATGGCATGGATCTCTCAGAGTCAAAAACACTAATATAAACTGCTTTAAGAAACAGATGGAAAAGGTCCCACCCTAAGCACAACAGACATGACCCCTACAACATTCTAAATAGAGCAGACCAGGTCACAATCTTTAGACTCCGTCACCAAATTAAAAGTGGGAGAGACAGCAATCTGTGAATGAGGACACGAACAAGAGGATGCCAACCATATCCTTCAGCACTGCCCGCGCTACGCCACCCTTCGCGCACAAACGTGGCAGAATGTGGCTCCCCTTGAGAGAAAGCTCTATGGCAGTTTCTCAGAGTTGAAGCGAACTACACAGTTTGTACGCGACATCGGACTGACTGTCTAGCTGCTGTTATCGAGAACGAGGAAGAAGAAGAAGAAGTCTACTTCCTTTTTCCAAGATGGACACGTTACTATGAGCTTGGGTCAAAATCTACTTGAGCCCCCAGAACTTACTTGGCCTACTACATACATCCGGGGTTTCCATTTTTATAATGTGAGGGCTTCCTGGGGGTCATCATATGACGTCATACATGAAAGACGCTTTTAGCTTATTTAAACAACAGGAGGCTCGAGTAGACTTTTACCAAACAATGCTTATTTAGGGCTTGGAAACGGACACAAAAG